ATTTTGACCCAGCAACAAGAGAAAAGGAAAAGTAACCAAGACAGTGGGCTCAGTTTATCTGTCCATAAAGTGGGGTTGTTATGGGAATTTGGGGAGCCAGCATCTGTAGACACCCAGTCTGAGCCAGGTGCCTGGTAAGATTTCAGTGACAATTTTGATGGATTCCTGCAATACCACTGAGGACAGGGCAGGACTGGGACAGGAAACAGTTTGCACAGAGATTCCACTCTCTGCCCTTCCCCTTCCCGGTCCCCAGGAACCCTGGTCCTCATTTGTGTTCGTTGGTGTGTGGAGCAGCTTGGCTGTGTTTGTGAGTTTCCAGCATCTATAAGTACCCACAGTCGCGTGGCGCTCTCCGGTGCAGACATTTGTCAAAGATGACATGCCAGTCATCCGTGCTGTATAGACAGTGACAGATGTGCTCCCCGGCACCACTGTCCAGGCAGCGGAGGATGGATGGAACGCTGGCACTCGCTAAGCCAGCCTGCACAGGGAGCGGCAGACCAGGCAGGAGACAAATTGCAGACGGTCAGCGGGCGGGTGAGGAGCTCGGTGCCCACGCTCAGCCTGCTCACGCCGGCCCCCTCACCGCCACATCCGGGACCCGCTTAGCCTGGTGAGTGGTCCCCAGTGAGGAGGCGGGAGCTATGGGATTTGGTTGCTTCCAGTGATGCTAATTATAACGACCGTCACATCTGCCGCACTCGTGCCCTACACATGTAGCTCACTGTGACCCCCGCATCCTGAGCATCCCTTGATGAAGGTCAGGAAACTGAGGCAGTTCTAGTACCTTCTAGAAGGTACTAGAAGCCGAGGCAGGGTTTGAATCCAGACAGTCTGGTTCAGCATCTGCTACTCAACTGAACTGTTATCTGGAAGGGCCTGGGATAGAAAGGCGATGTGACCAGGGCAGGAAAGAGAAGCAGCAGCAAAGGACTGGGGTTCAGGCCAGGCTCACTCCCCCCAACTTCCTCCGCAGAATCTGTTTCTCTGAAGGCAAGTGGGCAGCAGCTGCCCTTGCAGAACTGCAGGGCCTGGGCAGCTCCAGGGTGGCCACAGCCTGTTCTCCATGAACCCCCGGCCCGGCTGCCCTGTGCTCGCACATTTGCCACTTGCAGCCTCGCGGTTCCATCCTGGATGTTCCTGCGCCACCATCTCACAGAGCGTGAATCCACCACCCCCCCCCCCAGTCCCGAAGGCCAGCTCACAGTCCTCTGGGTATTTGTGGCATCTTTATGTCTACTGGCAGCAAAGGGAATGGGGCACATAAAATCAACAGAAAAGAGACAGCACAGAACTCTGGAAGAGCTTCCAAAGTCTTGCATGAAATCCCCCGGGCATGTGTCACACACAGGTGCCCGCTCCTCTCCCTCTGTTCTGGAAGGAGCAGAGTGTGGCGTGTTCCAGCCAGTCGCCTGCAGAAGCAGCTTCCTTTTAAAGGCTTAGTTTCCTCCTCTGTACCATAGGATAGGAGAGCAGCCCTTGCAAGGATCAAAACACCTGACCCACCGAGACGGTACCTGACCAGAGGGGGCACCAACACGCCATCATGGAGAGTCTCTGGTTGTCGGTTCCCACATCAGGAAGATGAAGGTGCGTTGGCTTCCGGCTTGATCACTCTATGCTTAGTGACACTCTAGGTGCCGCCTTCTCTCTGTCATTCACCCACATTCCTCTTCCCCCTCCTGAAGCTCTGCCCCTCCGTCAATCCTGCGAGGCAGGGGATGGCAGGACACAAAAATGGGGAATGGGCCATTCCAACCTGCCACACATCGGATCCAGTGCCCTTGGTTGACATAGCTGGGGAATCTGAATTTCTAGGTCTTGGTCCCTGTGAGCACAGCCAGCCATGACCCACTTCAAAATCCTCCCAGGAAGAACAATCCACCCTGGCCCAGCAGTGTAGACCATAGCAACCCAGTATTTGCAGGAATCAGAAATTCCTGTTTCTCTGGGCTCTTATGGAGGGGACACACACCGGAAAAGAATCTCTCCCACTATCAAACGTCTGCAACCATTTGGAAACCCATTTTATTGTCCAGTCAGTAGGCAGGGAGCCTGCAAACCAGAAAATGTCATTAAATAGACTGAAAGGGATTTTTTAAAGTCTTCTTTGGAGGACCAGGGTGGGCTTTGATGTTGGTTCCTGTTCCCCTCCCTGATGCTTTTTGGATAAACACATAAATCAACATCATCTATATTCATTAGATAACATGCCTTGTTCTGAACAAAATCACCCCTGTTTTGCATGATCCCCCTCCCCGTGATTAATATAAATGACTTGAGTTAATTATGTTTCTCTTCATGGAAAGATGTATTTGTCAAAGTGCCGAAACATCAATAAAAAATAAACACTGTCGCTGAAGAAGGGCAGGATCACACAGGAGCCTGCGGGAGTCGGGGAAGGGAGCGGAGTCTGGGCGTCACCGACTGGGAGAGCGCGCTTCGTGTTTACCAACAGTGACAAAAGCATTTTTCTTCGTTAAGCGCTCACGGGTCCTGATGAGGCAGATTGATGTCATCATTATTAACAATAATGACACCTCAGGCATAGAGAAAGCAGCTCTCTCCGTGTCCCAAAGAAGGCTGCAGGAATTAAACCTTGCCTTCCCTCCCAGGAGAAGCAAAACCCGGGTGCTTTACCATCCAGCGCCCCCAAAACTGGACTCATTGTGGAATTTGCAGAGACTGAGAGGCAAATGCAGACAGTTGCAGCACAGGGAAAGAAATCCAGCAAAGCTGTACCCCAGGAGCTTGTTAGGGGCCCCGGAGCAGCAGGGAGCTGGGCCAGTGGCAAGACAAAGGCCTGGAGTGGGCAGCGACCCAGCACATTAGAGGCAGAACAGGAAGGGTCCAGCGCTCCTGACTCCCGCCCCTGGCCTTTCCCTACTCCTGTTCCTCCTCCTCCACCGGAGACTGAAAGCCCCTTCTCAGCTGAGCAGGTGACAAAGGCATGATTCCTGGCGGGGGTTCTCACAGACTGCTGAAGGGGCACCTCAGGGTCATCTCTGGGTCTCTGTCTCCTGCATCCCCTCCCTGCCTGGGAATGCTCGAAGGGTTACATGAAAGGCGACCCCAGGTGAGGTGGAGAAGGGGACAGTGAAGGAACAAAGTCGTCATCCAGGTTGCATTCACTGAGGCTCTGTCCTGGGCTCCCTTAGAGCTGTCCCAGTGCTGAACAGGGAGCTGGCATTCACCGGCTTCCCAGGGAACTCTCTTGTCACCTCCCCCAGCCAGAGCAGGCTCCTACAGAACAGGAAAACAGAGACCCAGAAAGCCGAGCGTTTGGGTAGATACGTCAAAGAGACCAGACATTGTCTAAGGCAGGTGCAGGTGACCGAGAGCCACCCTGGGCTCGTGCCTCCCCTCCCAGTGAACACGATCCTTTTGCCTCTGATGGCCGGAAACCATTTATCTGGCTTTCCTGTGGGTCACCTCATTTTATTTATCTTCTTCAACATCATTTCTGTCCTTCCAAATGTACTTTAAGTGGTTCAGGGACACATAAACTACTATCACTTGGTCATTCAACAAATGTTTACTGAACACCTGTGGTGTGCTGGATCCTTTTTAGAGCACAAGGAACAGGACTCCAGAGACAGAGAAAATTCTTGCAGTTAATGGGTGGACATAGATGGCAAGCAAGTAAACAAACACTATAATTTCTAGCAGTGCTTCAGGATTCAAAGATAAGCAAAATAGAGTAAGAGGGATCATATACTGGAAGTGGAGTGGTTTTGAGGTCCCCTGAGAAAGGCCTGGATAGAATAACGCAGTGAGTCATGGCAAGGATCTGATAGGTCATGCAGTCAGATCGAACAGCAATGCAAAGGCCCTGGGGAATGACGAGGTGGCACTCAGAAGAATAAAAGGGGGAGATGAGGGAAAGAGAGGCCAGATTGCATTAGCAATTTATCTCTAATAGAGACTGACACAGAAAGATGCGTTCAGAAGACTGAATGGGTTGATGGATCGGTACATGGTCGAATGAGTGGGTGAGTGGATGGGTGGATGGATGGATAGATGGAGGGGTGGGTGAGTGGACTCATTTAAGAGTGGGTGGGTGGGTGTAGACTGGGTGTGTGGGGGAAGGACAGAATGTAGTGCCAACTTACATTCAAAGCCAACTTCACAGAAACATCAAATACTGAACCCAAACTACACAACGAGTAGTTATTTGACTAAGGAAAAGCTGGGGCAAGGCTGGTCCTCCTCTGACCTCAGCCAGGGAGAATCCTAGAGGAACCAATATCCTTACCTTCCTTTCTTTAGACCACCTCCAAAGACCTAGCCTCCCCCGCATGGTGAGTATCCAACAGCATTTAAACCATTAAATCTAAAAACACTTAATGGTCTTACAGGGACATTAATTAAACTTGGAAAGCTGGAAGCTATCCCCCCTCCCACCCCATTATACATGACCACGGCTGGACTCCATTTTTAATGCCAGCCCTTTCATTAAGGCATGTCACCGCAGCCCATTAGCGAAGCCTGTGGAGGAACAGAGATGCGTGAGAGGGGGAGCAGAATTCAACCCTGCACCTCTTTCCTGAGCACCTACTGTGTGCCAGGCAAGTCAGGGGCTACTGGAAAAGCAGGTTCAAGGATTTATGTGATCAAACACACCCAGTTCACACCTGAGAGACCACCGCGTCTTAAGGGTCGCCACGGTCACTGAGGCACTTCATCAGCAACATTTACTGGTTTTACCCAGAGAACAGAGCCGAGCTTAAGGAAATTTCCAGGATTTTTTAAAATCAAATTTACAGGCTCTGCTGCAGCCCTTCCACATCCGGATATGTTATCAAGGCTGCTGAGCCATCTGGACTTGGTCCACTGCCCAGGGGTAGAAGAGGCTTTTCTTATCCAAGAGTGTTCCAGCTGTGACCCTGGTCATACTGATCTCCAAGGTGTGGGCCCAGAGGAAGGGTTTCCAGGAAGATGGTTTGCAAAACGATGGGAAGCCTGAAGTCACACTGAGTTTCTTTCCCCAGAGAAAGTTTCTGTGATGTTCATCACATTTTTATTATCTGAGTTGACAGAGGGGACCAACATAAACTGCTCAGAGGGACCAAGAGTCGTCGCCCAAGGTGGTGTGTGTGCTCTGGGCTGAAGAGGAACCAACCAAAGCACTAGCAGAATTCAGAGAAAGGCTGGGGGAGGCAGTGCAGTATTGGTCGGCGATTGGGTGGAACTGGCCCCAGACACTGAGCGACCATTGGAGAACACAGAAAGGGAGGCTCAGAGCCCTTCACCAGGTCTTTCTTTCATCCTCAGGCTGCTGTCTTGCAATACTGTGATGCAGCAGCTGCGCTGATCCCCGTGCGACACTGCAGCCACACGCAGAGGAGCATGGACCAGGCCCCTGAGGGCCTTCCTCCTCTATTCCGTTCCTCCTTCTGGTCTACCCCTGTTCCTCCTTCTGGTCTACCCCTCTCGTAGTCAGGTTTCTGTTCCCTGCAGCTCAAAGCCTCGGAGCTGTACACCGAGCTCGGCGCTTGCCCCGGCCTGCGTGGCCCATCTGCACCTGCTCTGGCCTCCTCCCAGGCTGCAGCTTCTTCACCTCAGGGTCGCCCCGGGGCCTTCTCCTTCCAGTCCTCCAGAGCATCCCCTCTACACACCATATGCTTAGATGAAAAGGGAACAAACAAAGGGCGCCCAGAAACAGCGCCCTAAGGCCAGGAAACCCTCCGAACCTAAGAGGTTGCTTTGCAAATGATTTTTTTTTCCTCATTAAGCCACAATCACACTCGCAGTGACCTAAAAACAAACATTTGAGTCAGGCATGGGAGACTTTAAAAAATTAAAACGCTTTGCACCAAGGGGGAAAAACTGTGTTTAACCAAAAAGCACCTGCAGGAGATATTAACATTCCTAAATTAAGGGCACTGTGAGCGCTCCCTGCATTAACATTCAGCACAGCCTTGAAGACCTCAGAGGGCGTGAAGTGTGCTCTGCAGAAGCTGTGTTTAAGGCAGTGAGAAACACGCACAAACACACACAGGCCCTCGGCTTCCGCGCAGTGATCTGCCCCATGATGGGGAAGTGTTGGCCACCCTGAGTCTTTTTAGGGACGAGAGGCCTGCAGATGTTGTTGCTGGGGCAATGGGGGAGTCTAGGGTGCATCCTCGGTGGAGCACCCCCAGCCTGCCCCTCCCGGCTCAGCCCTCCTGGCAAAGCAGGTCCTGTCGGCCCTCACTCAGATCCCCACTTTCCTGCTGCTGTTACTTCCCTGACCCCACCACTTCCCAAGGGCAGGCACTTCCGGCTGCCACATGACAGGGACCAGATCTCACACTTTGTGTGTGTGTGGGGGGGGGGGGTCAGGAGGGACTAGAGATCGACTCCAGGGCCTTCACACAGAGCTATAACCCTACTCTTTTTTATCTCAAGATGGGGTCTCATAAGTTTGGTGACACAGGGGACTCGGCATAAGTGTTCCCATACTTGGCATCAGGAGCCTGGGTTTATATCCCAGCATCACCCTCTCTAAGTAACATGGTGCCCTAAATTGCCTCAGTTTCCCCGACTGTCAGCTCCCTCCTCTCTCCCTCAGCTTCCATCATAGACAGGATGGGATGTCACAGGAAGCCCCTTGGGCAGCTGCCAGGAGAATGGCTCAGCATTGGGGACTCAGGGCTGCTCGTCCTGGAGCAGCTGCTCTCAGGGTCCTCTGAACTGAAACTGTTCTCCCTGCCTTCTGGCAGAAGCAAAAGCCAGAGCTGTGGGATAAGTGAGGCCACAAAGGGATTTTGTCTGACTTGCAGAAGGTTTGAAACTATCATTTGCGTTTGTTGGGTGACTCTAGAGGCTTCCTCGGAGAGCCCAGGTTTTCACCTCCCCTCCACAGACCAGAGCACCTGCACAGTCAGTTTCTCGCAGCATTGACTGGCAGTCTGCAATGTGGATTTGATAAGGACGTGTTCAGCTTTGAGTAAATGCTGTGCCCTGGGGACATAGCGCTACACCAGGCAGGAAAGATCATTGCCCAAGGAAACTTCCAGTCTGGCAAGGAAACATCAGAACGATAACGGGTCCCTGGCATCGACCTTGAGCTCACACTTTACCCAGAGCAGCTCATTCGCTCTTCACAGCCATTCTGCAAGGTCAGCATTGACACTGTTCCCATTTCGCAGATGACAAACTGAGGCTGCAGAAGCTGAGTGGCTTGTTGAGGTCAGTGGGACTGCCAGCGGCCTGATTCACAGCACATTTTCCTCAGAGGTGGCTTTTGTGACTGCAGATTGGAAAGCCAAGATCATCAATCACTGTGACGATTACCAAGGCCAAGACCATATGGCCCAGACGCCCCAGCCCCTAACCCTCGGCTCTCCTCCTCCTCCATGCCGAAATTCAGAGCCAAAGCCAGTCACTCACTGCAGTCTAGTGGAAGTCAACGCAGCTAACGCAGCTAAAATGAAGCGGCCCACTCATGCCCCTGCCTCTCGGAGGAAGAGGGATGGGAAAACGCCCTGGTTCCTTCCCTGGTCGTCCCACAGGAACTCCTCCCGGTTCCTGTTAACAGCGTCAGGATGTGACATGTGTCCAAGCTTTTACACGATGCTCTCTGTCACTGTCCGGGGAGGCTTCCGTGAAGCCAACATTGAAAAACCAGGCTGCTGAGTACTGTCCGAGCATCCCCGTTCAGAGGGACCTAGAGGCCCCAGGAGACCATCTCAGCTCAGAGCGGTGGAAACTGAGGCACAGGGAGGGCAGGGCCAGCACACCCATCCACCACCAGTGGCTCCTGCCTTCTCACACTGATAAATGAGTGTTTGCTGCAGGAAGCACTAACGGGGTGCTGGCGGCCCCGAGTTTGGATCCCTGAGCCTGGGTGCTGTCGGCCTGAGGCCTTGAGCAAGTTGCCTGACCTCTCCCTTTTCTCCCATGTGAACTGAGGATGACAGTAAAAGCATCCGGTCCACAGAGTCATCAGAAACCTCAATGATACGGGAAATTATCCCTAGCACAACTGTACCCAGCATGCTGTAAGTGCCAGGATAAGGTGTGATTGACACATACGCTAAGTATTTAACTTTTTTAAAAAAATGTATTGCAGTAAAAGACACATTGCTATTAATCCTTCTCCAAATCCTTTCTGCTGGCTTGGAACGTACTTATTTCATCATTTTCGCCACTTTTGGAAGCGGTTCTGGAGGTCCTCTTCCATGAATGTCTTTAACTACACTGTCATGGCGGCTTCGATATCTTGAACGCATTCAAAATGTTGACCTTTCACGATCATCTTGTCTCTGGGGAAGAACCAGAAGTTACCCAGTGCCAGATCCAGGGAAGAAGGTGGGTGAGGACACTGCGCCATGTTTTTATGGCCCTGCCTTTCTGTTGGGTGACACTCTGTAGCAGCACGCACCTCGTGAAGACATTCACAAAGCAGCCACAGTCAGCCCTGGGAGGTGGCAGCTCGGATGAAGCGTGCAGGTCATGCCTGATCTACGACAATGATCCCCAAAGGGCATTGCGCAAAATAACTGAAATCAAGTCCTGGGGCAGAGAGGAAACCATCAGAACCCTGGAAATATCTCTTCCTATCCCTGAAACGATGCTAACGTTCCACTAAAACTGTAATGGCCATGTCTTGGGTTCAGCTCACAACTGCTGGCTGCAGCTCAATCTACCTTTGAGTAACTAAGTCTATTGGAAAGATTATATTGATGTGAAATCTGCCTCACCAGAGCTCTCCTCCGCCCTCATCTAATCCTGTGTAATCCCTTGGAACCGCGGGGATTTGTCCATCCAACAAGCAACTACACCCTCTGCACCCGTGGGCATCTCTACTTACCACGTGCCAGGTGTCCTAGATGGGGTAACGGGGAGAGAGACAAGATTAAGTCACTTTTCCTGCAGCATGAACTGATTCAATTAGTTGTTTTTCCTGCTGTCATGGACAGAAATCCCCCTCTGGAGTGGTTTACATCACAGGCATAGACAGGAAGAATGCACAGGAAGCATCAGGAGTATTGAACTCACAGGAAGCCTGAACATCCCAGAACACAGAGCATAAGGATATGGATGGAAAGTGCTTATGTATGCCAGAAGTGGGACCAGCAGGAGGGGAATGGTGACATAAATTATTATACACCGGTGTGGGCTCACGCACTCCACACTGAAGTTTTGGTCGATGGCAGGAAGCATGTATGGCATGGTCCCATGAGATTAAACGGTCCAGGGACATCACAGTCATGTTGGTCCATGTAAGGACCCCACAGTGTTCATATAATGGCAAAATCACCCTGTAACACACTTCTCAGAACATGTCCCCAGCCACAGGTGACACGTAGGTAGATATAGGTCAGTGGCTTGGGGAAGTGCTCACAGGATAATGTTGCATTTGAAAACCAAGGTCCAATATCAAAAGGTCCTCGGTTTCTATTCGGATGAATTCTCTACCGTTGATCGAATGTGACTCCAAAGACATATTACCGACAGCTTAGAGAGTGTAAGGAGACATTATCCACATCTTTCCTTTTTTTATGGTTTACTATATTTTTCAAATTTCCTTAAATGATCGTGTATTTTTTTTCTTTTTCGTGGTGGTGGGGGGAGTTTCATTATTTAAAAAAAAAAGCAATTGAAAGATTTAAGTCACCCCACCTCCTTCTGTTACTACCGGCTGAGTCTTCAGGGGCTTCCTCGGTAAAATAAGGACAATTGTACCTCAACTGCTTTCCAGAATTGCTGCGAAGATAAAATAAGAAAATGTTAAGGAACGTGTTTTGCAAATTTTGTGAGGCGCTGTTCAAATGTTAGCTGTTCGAGTTACAACACGAAATTAACTCCAACGATCTGAGAGAAGAAATCCGTGATAAGCTAACTCGGGTTTTGACACGGGAACCAGGAAAATACAAGAATGAGCTAAGAACAGAAAGATGTAAAGAGTCCGGGGGAATCCTGAGGGGATGCTCCAGCCTCGTAGGAGGAGCCGGTGTTAACCGGCTGCCCGCTAACAATCCGCTAACAATCCGCACTCGGTGTTCTGCCTGCATTTAGACACAGCGAAGCCTCCTAAAACCTGAGAAATAGCAAGTCAGGAGGATGGCGGGGTTCGCTCGATGTGAGGGGCTGATGAAAATCAGAGACAACACACGTCAGAGGTACTGGAGGTGCAGCTTGCAGGGATCTGATTCCAAAAATAAAAATAAGTGCCCAAAGGAAGAAAACTGGGGCAGAGCAAGAGCGCTCCGCATAGGCGCTGCTTGCTGGGCTAGAGGCTGGGCCACCCGCAGGGAGCAATCTTTAACCGCACCGTGCCTACACTTTCCGAGACCGGAGGCAGACGGGTGTTTATGGAATAAAGATACCAATCAAAAATTGGTTTTGGATAAGCCAGACGTGGAAAAGATACACTCGGAAGGGACAAGGGCCCAGCAAAAGGGACCAGAGCCCTCCGCCTTGCAGAGGAGGGAGCCCGGGACTTCCGGTGCTGGCCACGCCCTCCTGTCCCCGCAGCTCCCTCTTCTGGTTTGCCTGCTCACTGCTGCTTTTCTGGTTTTCTTTGCTTCCGGCTCCCCACAGCGCCTGCCCTTTCTGTCCTCCTTGCTTGGCTCCCAGGTCTCACAGCCAAATCCTCATCTTCACCACGACCTGTCCCCCACTAGGCGCCGTCTCCCCAGCTGCCTGCAGGACTCACCAGCTAGAAGCCCCTGCAGCCACCGAGGAAGCCTAGAGCCCAGTCAGTGCATTTCTTCAAAGCAAATCATGAAGCAGGCACCAGCCCTAGGAAGTTCCACCTGCTCTTACTGATAATGTTGTGTGGGAAGCATCAGCTTCTTGTGCTTTCTTGTCTCTTCCCAAACTAAACTGAGCATGTTGCAAATTCAGTTGACACAAGCTTCTCTACTTCTGTCTCAGGCTTTCTGCCTGGCCACCTCCTAGTCCAGGTCTGTGTGGGCTCCAGCAGCAGCCCCCCACAAGTCTGCTTCTCACTGCCCAGCCTCTCCCCAGTTCCTTCCCAATGCCACTGTAAAAGGACCATCCCAGTCAACGCTTCCCAAGGCGACCCTGTGCCTATTTGATCAAGAACGGATGTTTTGATGGTGCTCAAAGCTCTAGCTAAGGGTCAGACACACTGCAATGGCTTGACCAAGTTCAGCTAGCAGTTTGGCTAAGATGGTGGCTGAGATTAGACCTCAAGCAGGGAGCCTCGGTGGACCAGTGCTCAGGAGCTGGCTGAGCTTAGGCAGGCTTGGTAATAATCCCAAAAAAGGGCAGGGCTGGGGTGGAAGGTAATCGTCAGCCTTTGACATAAAGGACAACATCCCGAACCAGATCACACTCATGGGCTTCTCCTGGAGAACTGAGATGAGAGGCAGGAGAGTGAGAAACAAGGACCAGGTCCCTACAAAGGAGATTAGGTCAAAATGTGCATGGGGTAATCCCAGCACTGTAGGAGGCTGAGGCAGGAGGATTTCAAATTCAAGCTGAGCCAGGACGACTGAGCAACTTAGACTGTGTCTCAAAGTAAGAGGCTGGAAGTGGAGCTTTGTGCAAAGGTGCTGGGTTCAATCCCTAGTTTTTAAAGAAAAAGCAAGTGTCCATGAGAAGGCCAGGAAGCAGATGCTGGGAATTGCGGTGTGGTTGGAGGTGACCTCACCAGGCCCTGTCCTTGAGCACACCCACTTCACTCCACGCACGACGGCCAAGCAGCAGCTCCCCTAGGAAGGGAGCAAGAGTGCAGCTTCTGGAAAAGCACCCTGAAAGTACCACTGTGCACCCACTTCTCCACCTGAGCCCCCCTTCACTGCCCAGCCCAATGGGACTCCTGGAACAAAACCCTGCCAACCAGGTAATGCATCAATAAAAGGAACTTTCTGTTCATGGTAAGTTAATAAATTCCTTAATTCATTACAGCAAAAGACCCATTACCATGAACCCACCTCAGAAGACTCCTCCTCACTTTGAACACCTTTATGTCATCATCCTTGCCGCTGTCTGAAGCAGTCTCTGAAGTCCTCTCTCATCTCTTTTCGTGGCCACCTCAATGACCTGAGCCAACTCAAAATGTTTACGGCAATTTCTGCCCCCCCCCCTCGAAAAATGTGATGGTGTGCCACACCAACCCGATTCAGCAGACCTGGCACCTCGTGACTCCTGGCTCTTCCCTAAGTCAAAAGGACCATGAAAGGTAAGCGTTTCGAACCGTTTCAGGACGCCGAGGCAGACTGAGAGCATTAACGACAGACACTCAGGAGAGAGGGCTTCCAGAGCTGCTTCACAAAGCGGCAGAAATGATGGGTACAGAGCGCTGGGAGTGGGGGGCGGGTATTTTGAGCGGGATTAATGGCAACGTACCTTTTACTGTGACTTTTTCAAAAAAGTTGAAGTGCTCACCATATTTTTTGATCAAGCTTCAGGCAGCCCCTGCCTCACACCCTGCCGGGCACTCTCTCTTCCACATCCAGCCTTAGTGGTGGCATCAGGGTCTCTCTGGGCACTGCCAGCATTGATGATTGGGTGGCTGTGAGTCCCAATGGTGGCACAGATTCGTCGGTGTCATGTGGCATTCCCATCCTCTCCAACATGCCACCTGTCCAACTGGGAGGGTGGCCAAGAGAGGACACGCCCATGCTGGCCGTGATTACCCAGCCAGCAGCACGCCCGCCGCCACCCAGGGACAGCCTCATACCTGTGCCCTTCCCTCCTTGCCTTGTGGCCTCTTCTGTGCCCACTTCTGATACTTAAGATCTCTGGTCCCTTGCACTGCACTCCAGTGGCCCTGGGAAGTGATGCCCATGGCACTGAGGACATAGAAAGCGGTGAGACCCTTGTTCCCACAGGACGCCAACTCCCACGTGAGTCAGCACTGCGCAGGGTGTGCTTTGAGACACCTGATGTTTGAGACAGCCCCTCTCTCTTCCCAGCAGGCACCCTGTGTTCCCAGGTCCCAGCCCCAGCCCAGCCCAGGCCAGATGCCCAGCACTTAGGGTCGAGCTAGCACCAAGTGAGCACCACGCCGTGCCACCCACATTGCCAAGTCATTCACTTCTGTGTCAGCTTCACTAGGTGCGTGCTGTGATTCTCAGGTTGCAAAAGAGCCACTGAGAGGTGAAAGTCACTTGTCCAGGAGCCCATAGCTGCTAAGTGACACAAACAGGTCTCTGGGCCCCAGACTCTCTGGTTTCAACTAAAATGCCATTCAATAATTCCTAAGAGAGACAGAGAGGGAGACCGGTAATTCCACTCAGAGACAGTCAGAGATAGAGAGAGGTAGACAGAGAGAGGGAGAGGAAGGGAGAGAGGATAGTGGCAGGCATAGAAGAAGAAAGAGAAGGAAAGAGATAGGAGAAAAGGATTGAGAGAGGAAGGGAGGAAGGGAGGTCACCAGGGATCTGTGCTCTGGAGTCAGAGATGTATCCTGCTGGACAAACCCCCAAGTCACTGATGAATAAGCCAGACAGCCATGTGTAGCACTGGCCAGTGGACATGGAACAGGACTGTCCTCATGCAAAGCTGCGTGGACAGCAGGGACTCCAGGCTGGAGAGCAGAAGAGGACTTCCGTGCCTCGTGGCCGGGAGTTATGACAGCCAGGTGTGTCCTGGCAGAGGTTTCTGTCTGCCTTCCGGAGCACCCAGCTCTGCACACGCTGGGAGAACAGAGGAACCCTGCCCCTCGGGTTGCCTCCTCTCCACAATGCGCAGACCACCACCCCCCTTCCACTAATACATTTGCTTCCCAGGCAAGCACATTGCAATCGATTAGATTTCACAACTGATTAGGTTTCACAATCACAAATGCTCAGCTCCATTATGCATGAATCCTTCATACTAGTTTTTCTCTCCAAGAGCAACGGTGTTCTAAAAAGAGGGAAAAATACCCTCCTCGGATCTGTGGGCCACTGATACCTTGTTCTCAAGCCTGTTACTGTCCTCCACCCCCAGGCTGGCTCTCTGTCCCAGGAATGGCTCCAAGGTCCTCAAGGTGGGAACAATAGAGCAAAGGTTGGAAGTGAGAAGGGATGGGATGGATGGAAACCGACACTGGGCTGAGCAGGTAAAGACTGACTCGAATGCAAAGGAACAAGCTGCAGTTAAGAATGAAAAATTATGCAGCTACTTAAGTCAATCTGATCCAATTCTGGCTACCTGTGAAGGCTCTGTAAGCTAGAGAATTTGTCTAACAGAGGACAAGATTCCCCTGCCTTAAGTGACTGGTGAATACCTCTTACCCCTGCTCAGAGAAATATGCAAACTGACTGATTACCCCCTATGTTTTTAATATATGTGAGTCTTACATGCATGTATCAGCTATGCACTGCTGTGTAACAAGTTACCCCTACAGTTATTATCTCATAGCTTGAGGGATCCAGGCACAGGTCAGCTGGCTCCTCTGGCTTGCCTATCTGGGAAGAACCTGCTTCCAAGTTCACACACACACACACACACACACACACACACACACACACGGTGATCATTAGGCTTTACTTTGTCTTGAGTTGTTGAACTGTGGCTTGACTTCCTCAGGGAGCAGCTGTGAGCTTGTGACTGGAGACCTCGCTGGTTCCTCAATATGCACGTCATCGTAACATGATTGTCACCTACTGTGGCAGCTCACTGCATCAGAAGGCATCGCTTGCCACATTCTATTTCTTAGTACTAAGTCTGTAGGTCTAATGTGTCCTCGGAGGGAACACAGTGGGATGAACACTAAAAGACAGGAATCCCGGGGCGCTGTGTCAGAAACACAGGATCCCTCAAAATAGGCTCGCTGTATAGGGTCTCCCCCCCCCGCCCCCGGGCACCCTGAGGAGGTGGATGTGACTGCTGAGGGAACTGGCCAAGGTCATGTGGCTCACTGATGATGGAACCAGAACTCACGTACCATTTTGATAGCCAATGGCTTCAGCCTGGCCAGATAGCTTTCCTGCGATGCCCAACACCCGACGGAAAAGGAAGCTACCCATCCTGTCCGTGGGCAAGGCTGCCTTCTCACTTAGCATGAGACTCCTCGTAAGGGAGACCAAACAGTGGTGCCCACAGCACCAAGCCCACACTGTGGTCCAGTGCTTCCCTGCCCCAAAATTTGCTGCGGAGCTTCCCAGGGCTCCGCCTCCATCCTGGCTGTCTGTCCATCCCCACCAGTCACCGCCTGGGCACCCTGCTCTGCTACTGAAACTGGTGTCTGTACGTAATGGCAGGTGCGGTAATATCTCACAATGTACTGCCGCACGTTGATTGCCGCATGCAGAAATCGGGCCCTCAGGCATCCCCCGTAGCTCCTGGTGGACAACTGACCACCAGGAAGATGAAATGCGGCTGGTCCAAAATGAGTTGTGCTGCCCCTGTAGAAAAGCACTGGTTTTCAAAGACATAATTTTTATAAATTAAAACTATCTCACTAAAATATTTATAGGAAGTATTAAAATGGTCATATTTGAGAGAGATGGAGTTCAATAACATAAACTGCTGAAATTAATTTCACTGCTTTTTATTAATGCAACTGCTAGAGAAGCTAAGATTTCACACTTGGCCCCCACGTGTGGACTCGTGAGACTTCTACAGGACAGCCCTGGTCTAGAGGCAGACGGTCACCAACAACTACAGTTGATTGAGGGCTCGTGGATGCCTGGCTGGGCTCCACAGTCCCTTTATACTCTTCCACATGGGACAGTAGTTCTTTCACTTTGTCCTTAGGATAAACTCATGCAGTTAGCATCATTACCCGCGCTGCATGCCAAGGCAGAGGCGCAGAGCTAACACAGCTGTCCTGGAGTCACGTGGTGAAAGGGCTCCAAAGTCCTTCAGAGAGGAGTTCATGCTATGCCCCAAGCCATGGATTCTGTAAACGGGTGCAATGCAGGTTGGGCACCCAGGAGAAAGGGGCCAACCCCACCCTGGCAGGTCAAGGCTGGGCTTCAGATAGAGGCAGTGTTAAGTTGAGTGAGCCCAGAACAAAGCCATCCAGAGGCCATCCAGAGGGAACTGCTGGGGCACAGCCACAGGAGCATGAATCCGCATGGTGCCTAATAAAGCACGACTTGGGTTTGGCACAGCTGGTGCTCAGGGAGGACATGAGATGGGTAGGGACCTTGCAGGAAAAGCCTGTGCCCTGCACAGGGTTTGGACTTGACCCTGCCAAGCAGAGCACTTTAGGAGCAGCAGAAGAGCTCACTACCAAAGCTGATGTGCATCCCCAGCCTTGAGCAATTGCCGATCAGAGCACAGCAGGGGCCCCCAAGCCAACATGAGATCATGCTCCCTGGGTGATTAGCAGGAGCCAGGCAGAGACCCTCACAAGGGCCCTTGTAGAGGAAAGTTAGAAAACAGAGTCAAACGATCAGGGCTCTGTCTAACAAAATGGTCCAGGAGAGGCACCCCAACTGGATCAGTGGAAGGACATGAGACTAGGGGCACATTTGGTCAGCAAACAGGAAACAAGCTCTCCTCCTCACTGTCCAGTGATAAATGGGGACAGTCAGTAATCACACTGCTTGCCCCACCCCAGTTCCCTGCATGACCAGTGACCAACTGCTTGGTCTCAGGAAAGGAACCATGAAATCTAGCACCCTCAGCAAAAAGCTGCAGAACGCTGAGAGCCCATGGTGGCCCCTAGTGGCCTGCGACACCTCCACATGGCTTCCAGCAGGCTCCCCAGTGTCCATGGCTCAGTCTCCTAAATCCTCTCCTAAGACACTAGAAATGTCTGAGCTGTCGCTGCTTATGGCCAAAGCCACAGGATGCAGTAAGTGCTTCTTCCCACCGTGTAGAATCCTCTTTCAGTCTCACGTCACTGCCGTCCGAATGTCCCTCTCCAGCCTCTGCCCACCTGGCACCTGCCTTTCCCATTATGTGGCTGTGGGATGCCCATCACGAGTCCTCTTGGTTCCACACACCCTGAGCTCTGCATTCTCCAGACCACGCCTGGTCTGTTTGTCCCTGGGCTGTCCTCAGTTCAGAAGGAGAGTTGGGACAAGTGGTTCCCCCAATCACATGCACCCCAGCACTCTGAAGTCAAGCCCCTGCCCGGCCTGCCCCCAGCAGAGATCTCTCCCCTCACTGTGCAGCCTGCCCTGCCCATGGAATGTCTCCAACCTCCACAGCTCAGCACCAGTTCTTTGCCAGGAAAGCCTCTCTCCCAGGCCTGTCTGAAAGGGCATGACCCGGGGATAGCTCTGCATGGTCCGCTCCCAGCTGGACCAGCCTCTGCCTCCTTTCAACCCGCAGGCACTGTGACCTTCCCTTTTGGCTCTTGGCTTTCTGGTGTTCTGTCACAGTCCTGGCTCATCTCATCCCTGTCACTGGAATAAAAGCTCACAGAAGCAGGGCCAGTGTGCTAGTCCCTTTTGTCTTCCTTTGCAGTGGCTCCCGCCCCTCCCCCGAAACATGTTTGGATGTGAGCCAGCCCTGCTGTGACCCGCGCTGCCTCTCGCTGGCCCATTTTCCCGCTCCCTTAGGCACCCGAAGAGCAGGCAGGTCTTCATGTCCCTGGAACGGCTGTCATTTCTTGAATCAGCTGAAGAGCAAACAAGCAACACACAAGTCTATAGGAGAAATATGTTCAGAGTGTGTGAAACCCTATAGATTTTTGCAAACTGTGCTGAGAATGGATCACAAGGTGGGCCTGGGTTGGGCTGACCCCAGTGGGCTGCACAAATGTGACTTTCTGTGTCTTCACAAGAATAAAATGACCGCAGGATGCCACAGTCCTAGAACCCAAGACCTCATCTTGAGGGTTCAGTCTTATCATTGTTGTCATTTCATCGAGCCCCCACATAAAGAGGCTTGTAAATAAAAGGAGAAGGGTAACCATGAGGAGCTGAGCAGAGAATGGGCATGACGAAAGCATGTGATGGCTTGGGCCTGAGTTAGCATGGACACCGCAGGCAGGGGACCAGAGCAGGTCTGGTCCGAGCAGTGGCAAGAGCAGGACGGACGGGGAGAGGAAATGGAATGGCGGCTGGGGGCTGGGAATGGGTCAGGGGTCCGACTCCCCCCAAAGAGCCCTGCTGGCTTCTCAGTGTGTCCGCCGCTCACCTCCCTGGCATCGTGATGGATGACCCAGCACAGGTGGACCCTGTCAGGTCGTGTCCAAACCACATTGCTCATCCTCGTTCATTTGATGCTATTTAAGGCCATGTCTGTAAGGGACCAAGCTCTGAAAGCCCATCCATCAGGAGGGGTCAGTGCTTTGGGGACACTCGGAGCTCATACTGGCTCTCTGGGGCTGTCATGAGCCACACAGCTCTTCCTGCCACTCATCCTGCTCCTGTTGCCACCGTTCTGTCTGCCTTCCTGGCTCCCTGTCTCGGCCGCTCATGTCCTTCCCAATTTAGGCTGAAATCAGACTCCTTCTCCTCTGCCTTTGCTCCCACCTCCCGTGGCCTCTCTTGTCATCTATTATTTAACTCAATCACCATATTATATATGCACAGGAACCATCTCTGAATCCGGCTGGTCTGGAACAAATTAGGACCCAAACCAGAAGCTAGCTCACCCCTTGTCAACCCGCCCGGCAGCTCCGTGGTCATTTGTCATTCTGCCTCAGTCCTAGGCTGGGTACCCAAAAGAGCCACCAGCAAGCAGAAGACCTCATCACCAAACTCTCCAGGCCACATTCCAATTCACAGGCTGGACACAGTGGAAATTTCCAGACAGCTTCTTACAGATGTCCTTCCTGAATGGAGGTGTCTGGATGGCATACGTGTACTGTGTGGGTGGGAAGGACACAGGGGACCTGTGTCCTATTTGGGGATTTGGGTACTATTCGTCAAGTGGCCATTATCAACTTACTGTTGGACTGTGAGTGCGTACCCCACCTCACCGGACCTCTGTACTCTCATCTTTTCAAACCCAATTCCACAGCTCCTAGTTATCAAGATGCCCCATCGTCTACATGAGTCCACGGCCCATCCAGACCCATAGTTAAAATTCAGCTCACTCCCAGGCCACAGGCAATTAAGGAGCACCTGCCGCTCATTAGAAGGGACTTTGGATTAACCTGGCCAGGGTCCTGTTTTACAGATGAAGAGGCTGGGCCCAGAGAGGAGAAGCAACTAAACCAAGGTCACACAGTGAGTGGGGCACAGTCAAACTGCAATTCACAGTTCCTGGCCCCAAACTATCCTTCTTCCCTTGTGTGGTGTTCTTAAGGATGATTTCAAACATTCCGTCCCTCTTTCCACAGCGAGACGGGTCTCTGTCCTCGCGTGTACATCTAGATGGGTCCCAGGCCCCTCCCACTGGTGTGGTATTTGGAAGTGATTCTGTTTAACAGCCAGGGCATGGAAGGCTGAGCTGATTCTGCCTGGTTCGCAAAGACCATTCCTTTGCTTTTAGAGTCTGGAGTCACCATGTAAGAAGCCCAGCATCCTGAGGCCCCTCGGAAACATTACCAGTAACCATCTCAGCCCCGCCCCCTCACTGCCAGCCCAACTCAGCTCTAAAAACTGTGACCCCAGCAGTTGAAGCCACCTCCAGCCTTCCCAGTCCCCTTTCAACCCCCAGACAGCACGAAGCAGAGAACAGTTGCCCCCCACACACACTTTCTCTAAGTCACTGTTTTAAGCTGCTAAGCTTTGGGGTAGCTTTGGACATCACCACCAAGTGGAAGGGTAACCCGGGCCTCCTCACACCCTCCTGGCCCCACCCTGCCTCCAGGACAGGCACTGAGCATGGGCTTTCTGCACCCTGAGGGGAATTCTCTTTGCTCATGTCCTGAAGTGGGCCATAACGGCTTATCCCTGTCTGTCTTCTCTACTGGACTGTGAGCACTACAGGGGCACAAGCATGCTCTCTTTCTCTCCCTGGGCCAAGGCTCAGCACATGCAAAGCCCACGTGACCAGCTGCTGGCCCAACCCCTTGCTAACAAGCAGCCCTGGCTTCTTCCCAGTCCTCCTCCAAGCAGGGACTGTTCGTTTCTTACATGGCTCTGTCTACTTCACATCAGCGCAAGAACAGGGGACAAGGGACAGGGGACGTGGATGAAGGAAGTCAGACAGAGCTCAGCCAGCCACGTCTGGGAGCAGAGGAGAATGGGATTATCCCAGGGCACCGGATGTCTGTTTTGTGGCTGTCGCCTGTATACACACATTTGTCCTGAAAGCTTGGTTAATTTTCTTGTCCAAACATTGATTTAAAATGATCAGCTCGGGGAGAGCTACTGTCCTTCAGCAGGTTCAGTTATAAACTTTGCAGCTCCAAGGTCTGATTCTAGCGGGGAGCTGGAAGAGTTCCTGGTTGCTAAGAGACCCTGTTCCTGCCTTCCGGTGGTTGTTTTTGTTGCTGTTGTTGTTTGTGAGTAAAACAAAGCAAGGCAGAGAGCGGGCTTCCTCAAAATCAAAATAAGGTAAACAAACTTAACTAGAAAAGTGTTTGATAGGAAAAAAATAATTATGTCTTTTTGTCACTTGAAGGAAACAGCAGGGCACCGTTTCCACTCTTGTGATTCTGAATCTAAGAATCACAGGTAAAAACAAGCTGTCCCAGTTGATAAGGAGGCGAAGAAAGAAATAAAAAGTTTTTTTTTTTCTAATGTGCGGTCAGCCGCTCTTCCCTGTTCTCTCCCTGCCAGGACGGTGAATAGGCGGCCGTGGCTGCAGCCCAGAAATGCTCCTGCCAGGGAACAAAAGCTCCCTTCAGGAGAGGATTCTGATCCCTGCTGGGTCAAGGCCTCCCTGGGCCAAGGCAGAGAGCGCTGATTGCCCCCTCCCTGCCAGGAGTCGCCAAAAACTTCCAGATCAGATCTGGGCACACATCAGAGGTGAAGTTTAGCCAGGCTTTGAATAGGAAGGAGCAAAGAAAACAGTCCTGAATGGGTCCCAGCTGGTTGTTTTGTTAAAAACACCTGTAAAGCTGTGGTTTGTAGTCATTTTCTTCCCTGGCCAGATGCTTTAGTAAGATATTGTACTAAAATTCTCTCTCATAATGAAGGAAGGAAAACATGCTGATCTTTTATCTAGGAATGGAAACTCAGCCTTGCGCAGGAAGTCTTCCTAAGACAGCAGGGAAAAACCCCAAGTGAAAAGTATTAGCCTTTTCAGGAAAAGACAGGACAATGTTAGGTGACCACAGAGGGGTCACAGTCATCTGGGATTTGGAGACCAGGGAGATGAAGTGGGGAGTAAAAAGTGGGTGAGGACGTGGAGGAAAGGGGAGGTTAGACTCAGGAGAAAATGAAACCAGCCAACAAGTGGACATCAGGGACTTGCAGAGCGATGTCGCTAACAGCAGTGTGACTGAAGGGTTTCCACTTATCAGTGCTTGTTGGGCAGCAAAAGGATTTCAGAATATGATGGATCCAACAAGCATAAAATAATCTTTAGGGGAAAAAAATACAATTCCACACATGGCAGCTTCCTTCAGATCTTTTCTGACAACCTGGCTCGTCAGACTTCCTGTCAGCACGCCACTGTTACATTTTAGGCGGAAGGAGCCGTATTCAGGGTTTCTGTGCCTCACTGGCCCAGTGATGGGCTTCCCACCCTGAGGGAGGAATAGGAGGGAGGTGCCCTTCTGTACCGGCTGTCAACGTATGACATGCTTTGATCCATAAAATGTGAGCAGAAGTCACATGTGTCACTTTGCATGTGGCTTTCTGGCTATTGTCTCTCTAGAGGTCAAGATGACCAGCGATGTTCTGGAAGGACCTTCTCAAACGACCTCAGGCCCCAGGAGCAGAGCACAGAGCCGAGATGCAGCGATGCCTCAAACACACACAGCACAGCGGAGGATGGAGCACTGTGGGAAGCCCGAGGTCTGTGAGGTCTCTGTCATCACAGCAAGAATCAGAAGTGATCCGAGTCACCCTCAGCCAACCCCACCACCAGCCGCCATGGACTCTCCACGGGGCCTCTTAGAATTAGCCACGGTGCCCGGGGATGGAGTTAGGGAGCTGGGAGCTGACCTGCATGGCAGGAAGGCCACATTGGAGCCGGCTCATTGCTGCTAATTAACAAAGTAAAAACAAAAAACTATAACCTTCTCCTTACTTTTTAGAACTTTAGAGAGTATTGATTTTAAAAATGCAAAGCCTAACTCCCTAAACCATAGGAAATAATGTGGCTTTGTTGGAAAAAAATTGTTATGGTTCCCCCAAAGCCTCCTTACCCCCACGTAGCCAGCAGTCTCCTGCTCTTCAGGACTGCTCTGCTCCCAGAGATTTCTATTTTCTTTCTTCCTTTCTTTCTCCAGCTGGACCTTGAGTTCCTCGCTCCACCCAGACCCCCACCCATTTGCCCGCACCTTTCTTTTCATTGTCCATCCGTGAGAATCGGTTCCCCTCCTTCCTGTTCCCCTTACCACCACCCCAGCTGGCAGAAGAAGCCAGGAAGCCTAGCTGGGCCCCTGTAGAGAAGAAAGGCTGGGAATCCTTCCATCATTTTCCTCCTAACTGTGCTGTGCACAGCGAGATGGGGTCACAGGCAGGAAGCCAGCCCTGGTGGCCAGCAGCAGAGACAAGCTGAGAGCTGCGCCCAGCACACTGTGAGAAGACAGGGGAGCAGGCTGTGTGTCTGGTTCCTGGGACCCCCAGAGGGCGGTGCACAGGGTCCAAGTTAGACAAGCTGGGCAAGCAGGTTCCAGGAAGGGGGCCCAGCCAAGGAGGTGGCTTGAACACATAATGGGGTACCCAATGGGGCTTGTCTCACACTCTCAGAGTATCCACTGAGGCCACAAAGTGGAGGACAGGGGGCAAAAGTGACCTACTTCTAAACAGGGAATGGCCAGAGCCCACCTGCAAGTCATTCATTCAGAGATAGGTGATCCAGCCACCCCAGAGAAGACCAGAGGACCATTGACACTGGGCCTTCTTATGAGCAGAGAGTGGTCAGCAGAGCAGGGAAGTCTGGGCTGTCTCCTTCTCTTTCCAGGAAACCTGCATGGATGTGATGCTCACAGCCCTCCAGCCAAGCCAGGGGATGACTGGGGACAGGTAGGCTGCAGGGGTTGGGGGAGAGTCCAGGGTCCACACAGATGTTACCTGGGCCACAGAAACCAGCAGACTGACATGAGGTTCCACCCTCAACAAGAGCTTGGTAATGTCCGGTCCTTGCCCCTCTGCTTCTGGGGCAGATAACTAGAAAGGAATGTGGGAGCTGGCTGGAGTGACCTGCAGAGACAGGGGTACAAAGAAGGCATGCAAGTGGCTCCCCTGGATTCCAATGGACCACATGGAAGCTACTGGGGTCACCCTCCTCCTGGGGCCTGAAAAGGAAGCCTAGAAATGGGAAGCAAGTGGGAGAGGGTAGAAAGATGCAAACTGGGCTCCTCCCCAAGACCAGCTCCCAACTTGAGTTGGGGGACAAAGTGGAACAGCAGCCTTGAGCTGACTGTGAGATCCAGGTTGTGATGTAGCCTGCATAGACCTCCCACTACCTGATGGTGAATTAGGGCTGCAGGTCATAGTCCAGTTATGCTCACTGAAGAGGATCAGAAAGTTGAGCCTGAGTCTCTGCCGTAGAATAAGGAAGAGAAATGCCACAGAGACCAGGAAAATAAGATCTGGAAGAAAATAAACCCACTGGATTTGTTGGGTCAGAAAACCCACTTCACTGGTGGGGGACACTCACCAGGGAGCAAAGACCTCAAGCAACTGCTGCCAAGGAGGGTGACCCATGGACTTCCCCACATCCCACAAGAGACTCAGGTCATAGACCAAAGGGCCTAAGGGTGAAAAGCAGTTCTTGGAAGAATAAGCAATGGAAAAAACTTAGATATTTCAGAGTTTTGTGCTCCTCAAAAGCTTAACTCTGCACAGCAAAATACTATTCATTGCATTATTTATGTTTATCAATATACATTTCTTATATTTTTTTCATACACTTAGAGTATGATTTAAAATAGTTTATCAGTATATAGCATGGGGGAGGGATAAGGAAGAAAGCTTTGGAAATACTGAGTTAGAGAGATTCACCACTTCCCACCCCAGACCAGAGCTGACGCTTGGCTCACGGTTTTCTGGCTCCCAGCTGAACTGCTCTCTGAATTTGCTTGCATAGCTCATCCTTTGATGACCTTGGTCTCTAGCAGTCCTTTTCATAAAGACCCAGAAAAGAAACTTTCCTTCGGCTTTCTCTGAGCAGTGCTTCTCTGGAACACACGGCTTATCTTTTCTGATTCACCTCCCATGAGACTCACCATGCACCCCTCAAGTTAGATTCCCCCTTTCCTTGCTTGGGACAGGGGAGCGGAGGCTGCATCTTGTACCAGCAACAGAACTCGACAAGATGCAGATTTAGGACTTCGTCTTTGCTTTTATTTTTTTAACTCAGTGCAGAAGCAAAACATATTCCTTCAGATTTTATTGCATCCTAACTTTACTTCAAGATCGCTGTGAAAGGCAATTCTGGGACCCGATATGCTTGCTCAGTGTGTGTTATCTAAAGTGCCAAGGAACACACATCCCACGTCTTCATCCAGGTCATTGAAAACAGTACTGAGCAGAGCAAGGCTAAGACAGGTTCTTGTGGAACACCACTGGAGCCCTCCTTCCACATAGTGACACATTTATCACCTTCCTTTTTTATATAGTTGAGTCAGCCATTTATTCATACCCTTGCGACTACCATCCATCTACTGGAAGAGCCAATGGATTTGGTCAAACGCCCACCTGGAAGCCAAGTAGCCTCTATCTATTCATTTCTCAGGCCTGTTACTCCTACTGTCCCTCCCCAGTGGGAAGTTGACTGGCACTGGATGCCAGGAAGAGACTTGAAATTGCCCCTCCAAAACCAAGAAGCCTGGACCACTTGTGCCACCTGTAAAATGGACACAGCACCCAGGGCTCCAGGTTTGCTTCCAGACCAAGGTCTAAGTTGGCTTCCTCTGGCATGTGGAGCCTGCTTCACGTGACTGGCCCCTGTCACAAAGAATGCTAAAAGGCTCCATTCTGTGGATTCTACCTTGCGGCGGAATCTCCCACACATCAAGAACTCAAGCAAGAATTAGAGCAGTAAATACTTAGAAAGTTCTAAGCAATCAGGCAAGATGTCAACTGTTCCTAGAGTCGCCATGGTAGAGCATGGCTGCTCCACCAAGTCCAGCTCCATCTTTTTCTCAGGGCCTACGCCAGCCCCCGGGAGAGGGAAGCCACATTGTCCAGTGTGGGTCAGGTGCTTCGACAGCTGGTTTTGCTGGTTTGGCCAGGGCTATGGGGTCATATGGTACTGCCCATCCTCCCATGTCCTCAGAGCCTTTGCCAGTCCTGCTGTGCTGCTACCTGAGTCGACCAGCACCTGAGCCTCCCTGGCATGCGACCGTGCTGACTTGTGTCCCCAAGGTATCCCAGCCCCTCCTCTTTGAGACAGCTCTGAAGGGAGGCATGCACTGTCAGTAGCGATGTCCCTGAGAAACTCAGCCAAAATTACTTCTGTGGAAATTTGCTGCAAAGTGCTTCCTTCTCTTCCCTGTGCCATGTACCCTGGGAACACTTCTGACACTGTCCCATAGATCCTCGGGGTCTGCTTCTGGACAAACCAATGTAGGACAGACAAACATGGCTGCTGGAGGCCCATGGTGGTCAACCTGGTGTCGCTTGAACAGGGGTCTTGAGAGGAACCCCAACCTCCCAAAAGCTCATCTTCTTCCTATGTGCAATCCTTTCCAGACAATCTGGCTCTGAAAATGAATACAAATCCCCCAGTATCTGCCCTACTCCAGAAACAGAGCCAGGACTCAGAACCAGCTTTGCCCAAGGTACACACACCTTCCCATAACCTTGCTGGGAGAATAACCCAGCCCAGCACTCTGTGACTCCCACAATTCACTCCCCTCTCCCTTCTGAATGTCAAGAGCTCATACGGCCATCTCTTGTCTTAGAGCACAAATCCCTTCCTCTATAATTTATCAAAGATTAATGACGGTAGCTCTGAAATCACATGTCAAGTCTCTCCAAGGCTGCAGGACGTAATTCATCAGGCCCAGGGCCCCAGGTTCATTATAGCTGCTGTCTCTGACTTTACGTCCTCCTCCCCTGTCCTTGAGTCCCCTCTTTGCTATGTTTGTTCTGCCCCTTCCACCTGGAAGACCAGTTTCCTCGTTGGAGGAGAAGGGGGTAAAATAGTAATTAGTTAACAATGCCCTGGCTTTGTCTTCAGTGAATATTAAATCATTTTTCCAAGGAGTGCTTGTCCTTAATCTTTTCATGCTGAACAAAGATAAATAGGACTCCTTGTGGAGTTCACACCCCTTAGGTAACGGGAGGTCACACACCTGCCTACTTGGTTCCTAGCCCTGGGACCATGCCGCTGGAGTCAGCCCTTACCCTGTATCAGTTAGGGGGCACTAGGGGCCACTGTGTGCAACCTTAATCTCCATGGTTACTTTTGAATCCTAAGCCAATTATGTTGAGACACATTTACTGATAGCTGTCACCCCTGTGTCCCATTGTCTCACTCCATAACTGCCGGAATAAAGACTTCTTAGTTGTAACTCCTGGCCCTACTCTTCCAGTTCTCTTTGATTTTATTCCTGAAAGCCTGTTCATGCCTTTGCCCCTTCGTTACCTTGGTGAGGTCCTGACACCCTATCCTTGGAAGCATCCCCCTGGCAGGGTCAGCCCACAGGCAGTGGTCTTGGGGGTCACCTGTATTCTGAAACCACCCCCCAGCCTAGGAGGTTCCCTGATTCTCTGGCATTCACCTCTTAAACCACCCTCATTTCCTCCTCTATTTTTTCTTTGACCTTTCTGCTTTTCTTTTTTAATCTAACCATGAGAGCTCTACTTAAGTTTCTTTAGCTAAATTTCCCTTTGTCTCTCAGTTGAATCAATGCTATTTTCAAAAAATAGCAATGCCAGGAGGAGCAAGTCAGAATCTAATGAAAAGCATTAGGTAGGGCTGGGTTTAGCTCAGTGGCATAAGCGCCTGCCTTGCAAGTGTGTGGTTGTGAGTTCAATCCCCGGTACCAAAAAAGAAATGAAAAGCGTTAGCTGCAGGGGTGTGGATAGGAATGTAGTGGAAGGGTTAAAGGTAGAAGTGACTTGCAACTCTAAGTGCACCTTTTATGAAGTCTTGATCTCCAATTATTTAAATGTTTTTATATACAGTATTCAAAATTAAATTAAATGGCCCTGAATCAAGGTCAATAGTCTTCTAAAGATGTTGGTTTCAAGCAGGAGCCTGAAGTAGTATCATTCTATGGTCTGTTGACCATTTTAGGACTTTAGAAATGATGGTCAATTCATTAAAGAAACAATTCGCCTTCCACACCCCTGTGAGCCCACCAATGCGAGCCCACCATACACCCCGCTGTGCCTGCTGTCTTGGACCTTAAGGAGAAGAGGCTGTGCCCCAGTCTCATGAGCTCACAGTCTCAGGCCCAATGAAAAGGAAGCCGTGCTCCACCATGGGCCTGGAAGAGAAGAATCCATGCCCCCAGAGTTCCACCACCATCAGAGAAACATCATCGAGCTGCCACCCCACACCTCTCACCACCCAGGAACCCCAGATTGGAGGAGCCCAGGTGTCCAGCCCGTGCCTCTGCACACAGGATCAGCAGGCAATGCAGGAAACACCAGGGACTCAGCAGCCAGCTGATTCAGAGAAACACAAGAAAATGTCAAGGAAGGAGCAGGGTGCAATCACAGATCCCCAGCCCACCCAGAACAGGTGCGGATGACATAAACACACGAGAAATTACAAGTCACACACCTGAAATTTCTGAAATGATAACAACTGGTGGAAAGAGACAACTTTGTGCTTATATTGTTTGATTAATTTTGCATGCCTGTGTCTCACCCAGAACAAGTCCGGGAGACACAGACATAGAGTGAATTAGAAGCCACACAGCTGAAATTTCTGAGGTGACGGCAACTTTAGTAAAGAAACAGCTTAGTGCTTGTGCTATTTGATTGATTTTGCATATCTGTGTCTGGCAGTCTGAGCATCCATTTAGAGGATATCAATGTGCATTCCAGTAACCATGGTTGATTTCCTACACTCTTGTTTTTGAAATCCAATATTGTTCCTGTTGTTTTTGTTTTGTTTTACTATTGTGTTTTACATTCTTTAAAAAACAAAAATAAAACTAAATCAGCAAGGATGCAAAGAGCAAGATCTAAGGTTGAATTTTAACAAAAATAAATGAGCCTAACTATATCAAGTCACATAGAAAAAGCCATAAATCAAGCAAATTCGGGCAGATTTCCTTGATTATCCATTCTTACTGGCATATATAGTCCAGGGGGAAAAAAACTACAAAGAAGCCTCCCACCTGATTTAGTAGGTTTGTTATTTGTGATATCACTAGTATGATAATTCTGAAACAATTTGTGTACATTGTAGGATAAAGAAAAATAGTAAATACATTGACACTGGCAAAAATTAAGTTCTTACTGTGAGAGAAAGATACTGGAGAAATAAGAAGAAATCAGAGTGTTTGGTTTGATGTAGAAGTATCAAAGTGAATTCAAGTCTTTATTTTCTAGTACCATCCACTGATAAGGCACAGAAAGGATCATATCCCAACAGTCACAAGCAGCCCAAGACCCGATCTTAGCATTTTCAATACCTTTGTCTCTAAAATGAATAACTCCTCAGAAAAATGATTGATCCCATTCTGAAGCAGGCAAAGTCCAAGGTGAGCCTAGAATACCAGATTGTACTAAAAACCCAGAAAGTGCTCAAATTCTAGGGGTTACCTGTCAAAGCAATTCAGGAGCTGGCTGGAAGGGGACTCCGGTGGCCAAAATTGGGACAGTATAGCTTTAATACTTGTAATGAATGATGAGACATTAGTTACAAAACTCCTTAAACTGATGAGATTCAAGTAAGTAGGGAAGTTTTCACAAAAGAACACCTGCTAATGAGATGGAAGAATGATAGGATTAGAAAATTGCCATTTTGCAACGTAACAATTTACTTAGCTAAGGCTCATCACTGGATCCTGTTATATTGCATAAAAGATTGGTAGAGTAGCCACACAATCAAGATGCAATCCCTCAGATCACTTACCAATTAAAATGGGACTGTTCACTAGGTAGCGAGGGTGGACACCACTGATATTATTTTCCTGGCAGTGTGACAAAATACTCAACACTCACAGTTTAAAGGAAGAGGGGTTTATTCAGGCTCACAGTTTTCAGCGTTCAGTCTGTGGTTGGTCCCACGACAGAAACAGCATGGTGGCAGGGTGTGCTGCACACTCCCAGCTCAACCCGCGGCAGCCAGGAAGTAGAGAAAGAGAAACTGAGGAGAACACACACCCTCCCGGGTCACTTCCCGTCTTCATCACTGGCTTTGTTACTGACACAAAATACACAACTTAAAGGAGAGGTTGGTTTCGGTTCAGAGTTGAACTCCAAAGAAGAAACAGCGTGGCAGGGGGTCCTGGTGCAGGAAAAGCCTTCGCCAGAAACCCAGTGGTACCGCTGCTCACTGAAGAGGCCTGGAGGAGGCTGAAGAGGCAGGAGCGACCTGCAAAGGAGCCTGAGAAGTGGATGTGGGCTAGCAGGGACGTCAGAGAATGCATGGTCCCAGAGCTCAGACCTAAGCAGATCCCAGAGCAATGGAAGGGAGTGTGAGAGAGCAAGAGAGAACCACTTCCCCTTGGTCACCGTTGCTCCCTTTGGGGCGGTGTCCCAGCTGCTGTGAGAAGCCTCAGGTCATGTCCCTGTTTCTCGCATCTCTGGATCCCCCGGATATAATGCTTCTGGATCCAAATCCGCTGAGGCAGACTCTGCTATGACATCTGTTTTAGCGCCTGAAGCGGCAGCTATGAAGTTGACCATTTCCCGGGACCGTCTCACTCCCTGTCCTCAGCTCCGGCTCCGCACACTGTGCCCTGAGGTCTTGCACTCAGGAAGCGTCAGCACATGTGCCCAGCAGGGCCTCCAGCGACCTCACACCTATCTCTCTGGGTCACCAAAGGGAGGGGGAAGAAATAAATGCTCAGAAGAAGGGGAAGGATGTGGCTGAAATGGAAGAAGAAACTGAAACCATTGGACAAAATGACAGCAACCACAACAGCCATTTATTGAGCTCTTGTTCTGGGCCAGGGTCATGCCTAGGCTGTTTTCTCTCTCCCCTCACCCCTGAGGGTGCACTCCACACTCAGCCATCCCAAGGGAGCATTATGCACCTTCCCCTCAATGCACGACCCTCCTGCATGTGGGCCCATGGTCAGTAGGTTCCAGGCCAGTCTTTCAATCCTCCATGCCAAGCGTTGTCACTGAAGGGAGTGGAGAAGGAGAGAATAGTTGGTTAGAGACAAAGCCACCACCTCCCATGTCTTCTTGGAAGGTGCCTAGCTGGCCTGGCTGGTCCCTCTGTATACCCAGCTTCACTTTGGGGACCTGGGCAGCAATCACAGAACTCTCCTCCCCCTCGGCCCATATCCTCAGAGTAACAGAGTCTTCCTGCCCCATCAGCAACCTCTCAGCCAACCTTCTCATGGTAACAGTTTCTCATGCAGTGCAGTTGAAGAGGATGGAAGATACACACAACAAAGCTGGGCATGATGAGGGACACTGTAATCCCAATATTCTGGGAGGCTGAGACGGGAGAATCTCAAGTTATAGCCCAGCCAGGGCAACTTAGAAACTTCATGAGATCCTGTATCAAATTTTTTTTAAAAGAAGGGCAGGAGAAATAGCTCAGCAAGAAGGCCTTGGATATAATGACAAAAGAAAAAGAAGATGATACATACACAAAATGTGCACACACATGCACATAGACATATGTACACGAATATAAACTTGCATACCCAAACACACATGCACACACTCAAAAATCCCACTGCCTCCCCTTGCTGGAAATTCTAGCACACTAAGGTCCACGGGGAAGCCATGTAGCTGTGGTTTTTACTCATGTATGTGTACCCACGGCACTGCTAGGAAGCCGAGACTTAAAAGCTAGAAAATGGGAACCAAAGAGATCAGTCGTGCAGTGGAAGGAAGAGGAAAAGAGACAAACTGAGCCCCGCCATGGAAAAGGCACCCAGGGTGATGGGGAAGTGGAGAGCAGAGGGTCTTAGAGGAGGTGGCAACCAAGCGTGGAACAGGGAAGGAGTCTCAGACGCTTGGGTGTGGGATTGAGAATGTGAAACCAGACCTTTGGGACTGAAGCCCCAGAGTGCCATTGCCTATTTCTGTAGTCTTGGGAAACTTACTCAAGCCTTGTATTTCTGTTTTTGCACCTTAGAACGGGGTGATGGCAGCCCACATGTAGCAGGGTCGTCCTGGGGTTTCAGTGAGGTAACCCATGCACAGTGCTTAGCACAGCACTGAAGAAATGCACAAGGAATGTTCAATCTCACCATTAATATTTAACCGAAGCCTGGGGCCTGCCTCCACCACCAGCTCCTCCAGCTGTAAAATCCCTTTGCAGTCTGCCAAGACGCAGACAGACTCCCATCTCTCATCCGGGAAAGCGTCTTCCTCTCCCTGGCAGGGCAGTGAAACATCTGGGAACTTTCTGGGAAGAGAAAAGGTTGGAGTGCAAGAAATCCCGGAACCCTGTGCCGCCTTGGAAGGAGAGGGCTGCGTCCCCAGAGCGCCTCCTGCAGACCTCGACCTTGGCGCCTGTTCCAAGAGGGCATAACCCGGAGGAGCGCTGTAAACTGGTGCAAACCCCACAGAGAGCAAAGCGCTAGTAACTTTCATAATTCCAAATGTACACGCGCACTCCCTTTGACCCATAAATTTGGCTTCTAAGGGCTTTTGTACAAATGTGCTTACAGGGGTGCAGAACAATGTAAATGCAAGGATCATCAGTGCAGGAGTGTTGGGGCAGGGCTCAGGAAATATCTGAATGTACATACTCATTTGTCAGTAAATGATAATCCCTCCTCATAATAGAGTCTTAGCCAACTAAACATAGGAAGAAACGCCTATAAACGTTATAGGAAGATCTCCCAAGGCCCACCGTTAAGTGGAAAAGCAAAAACATGGAAAATGTGAGCAAAAGAAAAACGCATTTCATGCAAGGATAACTCTGGGAGGAAACTCAAGAAACGATAATAGCATCTCTTAGGAAGATAGCGAGCGGGTCAGAGGAAAGATGGTCACAGACTTGGCTTTCACACATTTTGAGAATAAGAGGATTTGGCTGGAAGGCACTGCACCTGCAGTCAGACAGACATGTTCGGCACCCAGATGTGCCCGTTTCACCACGCTGGGCAGGCCAGGTCCACTTCCGTAAGCCTTGGTTTCCTCTTAGGTAGAACAAGGGTGAACATGCACCATCCGTGAGCGGGCACGGACACCGGGCTCTCCAAGCACAAGGTGGGGACACTGCAGCAAAGGGAGCGCGTGGTGAGCAGAGAGGGGTCTGAGTTCGCTGCCTCCTGTGTGCCCGGGAGGGCCCTGGAGGCCGAGGTTCCAGGCTGACTGGGGAGAGAAGAGCAGAGGCGTGAGAGCAGTCTGTCCAGCAGCAGGAGCAGCAGGGCAGGCGCTGGGTGTCCGGGTGCTCAGCAGTCTGCCAAGCTCCACCATCACGGTGCCGTGGCCTCTGGTCTCCGTCACCAGGGCACCCTGTGCTGTGAGCAAGATGGACGTCCCGCACCATTGCACAGGTGAGAACCTGTCCAGGGAGTCAGGTCCCGGGAATGCAAGGACAGCGCACTGCCAGGAGGAGACGGAGCTGATGCGGGCTGGTCGTCATCACATGGAGCCCCAGCTTCTGCACCCACAAAGTCGAGGTCAGGACAGCTGCTTTCCAGATGTTGTAGTGACAGGGGTATGGGAGGAGCTGGGGGTTTTGAGAGGAAGCAGATTATTATGGGTGGAGGGAGCGTGGACACTCAGACAGTGCCTTAACAGTTCAAATAAACACTCTTTGCCTTCAAGGGGCTCACAGTTGAGGGAGAGAGGTGGGGAAGGGAAGAGGAAGGAAGGGGAGGAGAGGAGAGGGGAGGGGAGGAGAAAGAGGCAGAGAGAGACTGAGATACAGAGGGAGAGAGAAGGAGACAGACAGAGATAGAGACAGAGACACAGAGGGAGAGCCAAAGAGACAAAGATACAGACGGAGATGGACAGAGAGATGTGGCAGAAGGAAGAAAGGAGGAGAGGGGAGGGGAGGGCCAGGGGATAAGGGGGAGGATGGGCAGAGGTGGAGAGAAAGAGGAGGAGGAGGAGAGGAGGCAGGGGACGAAAGGGTAGGCAGAAAAAAAGGAGAAAAGGTGAAAAGAGGGGAGGATGATATGGAGGAAGGAGGAGAGAGAGAAACAGGTGCCATAGAGCACGTCCTCCCTCTCCAACCGAGCTCCGCTTACAGAGAGCCCTGCCTCGCCTGAGTCTCTCCATGTGCTGCGGGCTCGTGTGCATGTAGTGCAAGCTGCTGCCACTGACCGTGACTAAAATGAGCAGGCGAGTGTCGGGCAGGAGCGGGTGGCACAGCAGGATGCAGAGCAGAGGACTCGTGAAGGTCCTGGGGACAAGACGGGCAGGTGGGAGGATGTGTGAGGAGAGCTGACGAGGGGGTGGCGGTGACTTTGGGGTAGTGGCAAGTGTCTTAAAGAGGGGTGAGGCGTAGGCCCCCATATGCCAGGTAGGTCGTATGCAGGTCCTCCCACCTCCTTTTCTTTCTCTTATGAACCAGGCCCACGGACTTTAGATTTCTAATGTCCTATTAATTGCTACAAAGCCAAATAAATCTAGAAGGGCTGATGGTGTATGTGAATCTATATGTATGATAAAATCCCATAAAGTCATGCATAAGACACGCCAAGAAAATGGGCACAGTGCTGGGCACGGTGGTGCAGACCTGTAACACCAGCATGCAGGAGGCTGAAGCAGGAGAATTGCTGTGAGTTTGAGGCCACCCTGGACTAGATCATGAGTTCAAGACCAGTTTGAATTACAGAGCAAGACCCTATCTCAAAAAACTGGGTACAGTTGTCCCGCAACATGTGCAGATCATTATTTTCAAGACCCTGACAGGTACACAAACCAGCAAAGGCTTTCCTGCTTATAAAATGCCATTATGTTTGCATCTAATCACCTAGGCATTTCCTCCCATATACTTAAACCATCTCTACGTTGCTTAGTGTACATAATACTATGTAAATGCTCTATAAACTGTTGTTATGTTTAATTGTTTAGGGACAAATGGCAAGAAATAAGTCTACCCAAGTTAAGAACAGATGCAATTTGTATTTGAACATTTTCAATCCTTGGTTGGTTAAATCATCAGATGTGGAACTCACAGGTATAGAAGCTTCGGAGATGGCCTCTGGTCTCCTTAATTATGTTGTGCTGGTGTCTGCTTTCTAGTTTTGATAATGCACAGTAGTCAGATGCCATCTTTGGGGGAAACCAAGTGACAGGTCTGCAGGACCTCTCTGGACCCATTTTTTTCAATTTCTCATAAGTTTATAATTTGTTCAAAGCAGAAAGCTAGGAAAACCATATGTGGAAACAGCCAGAAATTATAGGGCCAGAGTGGAGTTGTAGGAACTCTTCACAGGACCAGGTGAGTGGAGAGCAGGATGTTAATACCGACGGTCCCCAACAAATGACAGCTCACCAAGGATGACGTAAGGGTGATGCGCACTACGTAGAAACCGTGCTTCTTTTCCTCGGCCAGCAATAGGCAGTGAGATCCTCCCTCACATGCCTGGGCAGGAGCACCAGGGCTCCCGCTGCAGCATCCCAGGGGGAGCAAACCAAGATTACAGCAAACTTTGTCCTTCAATATTCCATCATGTCAATAAAACTTCCTATCTGAGTCTTGAACTTCTGGTGAGAAGACAAAAGCAATTATCCTTGAGCTACAATAATATAATTGCCCAGCATGAAGGTTGGGTATTTGCTAGAGCGATACCCATAATTTAAAGGAGAGGTTTATTTTGGCTCATGATTCAGAGGAGTCGGTTCATGGTCGCCATTCTCCAAGAGAAAAACAATATGGCAGAAGTGGGTGGCAGAGGAAATCTGCTCAACCTGTGGAAACCAGGAAGCAAAGCTGTGGACAAGAATACATCTTTTCAGGTCACACACTGGGAGAGCCACAACCAACCAGACTGCATTACCTGCCAGCACCCTCAGCCATGAACTCATTTGTGGATTAATTAATCCACTGATGATTATGGCACCTCTAAGATCCAACCACCTTCCAAAAGCCGTACCCGTGAATATATGAGACTTTCAGGGGGACATGTCATATCTAAACCATAAGAGGTGACAAACTAGAAATAGCCACTGAATGAGAGTTAAGACTTTTGAAATTGATAAATTCAACCATCTTCAAGAAAAAGAAGAAGATCAGTGAGACAGTGAAATTACCAGGATCGGTTAAATCCACTGCCTTCATGAAGGAGCTAGGCTAACCTGATATGGAAAATTTACTCCTCATGTGGACAGAACACCAGATAGAGAAGCGCAATCCACTCAATCTACCAACAATCCAGACTAGGCAAGAAATCTTTTCCATACAATAAAGCACATATCAAGAAGCCTGCATACCCGTGAATGTTTCCAGGTAGTCCTAGATGGTTGCTAAGCTCCAAAAAGCATCACAGTTCTAGTGTGAAGGTCAGTGGTGAGGCGGCAAGCGCTGGTCCTGAAGATGCCAAGGCTTTTAAGGAAGAGCTGCCTAGGACAACTGCGGATGAGAAGTATTTGCTAGAGCAAATATTTGGTGCCGATGAAACAGGCTTGCTGTGGGAGTGTGTACCAGCTCATGCGTCCATCCATCAGGAGTCTGAGGCAACGCCAAGTCTGAAGGCCCTCAAGGACAGCACGACAGTGCTTTGGGGTAGAAATGTTGCAGAGTTTTAAGGAAAGTGTTTCCTGTCCTACCACTCTGAGAACCCTGCAGCACTGGAGGTTTCGAGCGCTTCCTGTTTATCATCCCCATAATGAGAAGCTTCGGTGACACCGGTGTTGTTTGAAGACTGGTTTTTGAGCAGCGTGGTTGTGCAGACTAGAGAATGTTGGCAAAATAACATGCCACTCATGATTCTTCTGATCTCAGACCCGCTCCCAGCATTGACGTGTACCAGCGACACATGTCCTGATGTAAGGTTATATATTTTCTGAGAAACACAACCTCCATCATTCAACTAGTGCACCCAGACTCAATAGCTGTGTTTCATGCAAGCTGTTTGTGCCAATGCTCACGCAGGGTGCTGAAACCACAGAGTCTGGTCAAAGGCTCTGAGTCTTTGAGAGAAGCCTTTGCATCTAGGTGCAATCCAGAATGTCACAGTAGCTGGAAAGAAGTCACGAGTGACATATGGAGGGAAGTTTTGAAAACATAGTGGGACTCCTTCAAAGGCTTCAGCCTCTTCTATGCAGAAGGAGCAAAAATGCCCACCCCAGACCTGGCCTGATTGCCTGGGCACCAAACAAGGGCAGCATATGTCCTGCCAAGCCCCTGTGATAATAACTACTCCCCAGTTCCCCACACAGAGGTTCAGAGATGAGCACAAGCTTTTGAGACACAAATAGCCGTAGGAAGAGCTAACATTTACTGAGCATTCACCATGTGCCAGACTCCTTTAATCCGGGCAGACAGGAGGGCTGCTGAAACAGAGAGGCTCACAGTAACCCAGTAGTCTAGGGGGTCGGACATGTCTGTCTGCCTCCTGTCATCCCAGAGGATCTTGCTGCTCCCCTGGCAACTCAACTTCAGGGCTCTCTTCATGTTATTTCTGCACAACATCACCCAGACTTGGTCCTAACCAGATGCTAGCAACCGGGTCGGTGCCATCCCTGTGTGTAGCCAACTCGGAGGAGAAGGTCTTCGGGCCCAAGGGGACTGGGCCTGGCACTCAGCTAAGTGGTGAGGATTCCATTGCATGGGCTCATCTAACTGCTGTGAGGCTGGAGAGACTGCAGAATGTGTGCTGATGTGACTCTTGCATGACTCAACACCAGGGACGGGGCAGCTGGCGGGCACCTGCCCCTCCTCCACCCTGCCAGGGGACACCAACAGCTGTATGATCCACTGGCTTCAGCCACGGAGTGCAAGCTGGATCCCTTTCAAGATAAACTAGGGGCTTTGTGTGTTTTAACAGGAAGCTGGTGGAGACACACGGCTCTAGTGGTAGTGGAGATTGGGACACAGCTTGCTCCCAGAATCCTGCTGCAGGCTTTGCAGCAGCCAGGCTGGGATTTAAGGTCAGGTCCCTCACCTGGGGAAATCGCTGAGCCTCTCAGCCCTCAGCCCTCTGAAAGGAGACAATTCAGGGAGATCGCGGATATGGCCCAGCCTCTCAAGCTGTAAGGAGTTGTCAGGTGCTGGGTGTTGAGATACCCAAGACTGGTGCTACACATGTGGCACTGTGGTTGGCATGGTCTTCAGGTGAAGAAATGAGAGCAGATGATGTCAAACAATCCTTTCAAAGTCACGCAGTTGGTCAAGGACAGAGTTGGGTTTGAAGCCAGACCTAACCACTGACACTGTGCCTTAACCACCAGGCCTGGCTAGCACTTGCTGACCTTGGGCCTCAGTTTCCCTATTTAGGAAATGGACCACTATATTCCACCTTGCTCACCATCCAGGGTCATTATGAGGGTCCACTGAGAAATAATTTCCAAGGTGCACTATAAGATTACAAAGCTTTGGGGATTGGTCTAAAGATGGCAGCTTGATAGGTAGCAGGGTAGAGAGCCTCTCTGAGAAAAACAATTCAGATGCTAGAATTTAACACCGTGGAGAAGACCAGACAAAAGGAAAGGGATTCTCACAACCTAGACGAAACTGAGGAAAAAGAAGAAAAAGAAAGGAAGGAAAAACATGAATGAAAGGCTGGAATCAGATGCTCTCACTGGGGCAGGTCCCGCGCTGTGCTGGGCGTGCCTTGGAGTCGGATGACTCACAGTCACGCTGAAGTCGCAGCCGCTGAAATCCGGGGTTGGTGAGCTTAAGGCCCTTGGTGGGAGGATGCAGCGCAACAGAGAACAGAACCGACGTGGAGAGCTGCATTAACCGGTAGTGAGTGCTAGGAATTGGGTCCCGCAAAGGGGGGCAACCAGTTGGACAACATCAATATGTTGGGCAGGACGGGCCTGAACCCAGAACCACAGTGGCATCAGTCAGCCCACCCCGAGTCCAAAGAGGACTGGTGGGATCTGCTTGGGCTGGGCCACCCCACCAGTCGGGACCCAATAGCCAGGGAAGAAACTGTCCCAAACCTGTGATGTCCGCACAGCACAGACTAAGTGCTGGAGACACAACACCAGTTGACTGGCTCAGAGGATGGCGGCCAGCCCACATCACTTGTGTGTGTACCTCACAGATCAACAGTAAGCTGGAGAGGGCAGCAATGTCCTAGCCAGCATGCGTCAGAAAAACTGTAGACAATACAGAAAGAGCCTGAGATCTCCACCATACGCCTGTCTGAAAGAAACCAGAAACATGACAAGAGAAAGAAACAAGAAAAAGCCTCCAGCTGCTGACCCAGGGAAAATAAGTCCAGGAGAGGTACAGATAGAAGACATCCAGGGCAGCAATCATGCAATATCAGCCACAGCATCAACAGACGTAAAGAAATACCTTTGTGACCTCATAGACGAACTTAAAACTGAAATTCTAATTCAAGTCAAGCAAGATATAAAAAGGTTAATAAAATAAATGCTAAGCCCCTCTCAAGAAGACACAGATGGAAGAATGGAGGAACCCAGAAAAAGGAAAGAAACCTTTGATGAAGAATATAAACAAAATCTAGAATACATGAAACAGATCCAAAGAGATTTACCAGGAAATTAAAAACTCCATTGAAAGCTGGCAAAATGCCTTGACAGAAACTAAAGTTAAACTTTCAAAATTTGAAGTTAGATTTGCAATGTGTGATCATGAAAGAAAAGAGGTCTTAAAAATAACAAGGAACCAGGAAGTAACAATACAAAGGCTAGAAGACGATAAGAGGATTTATAACTTAAGAATAAACAACGTGAGCAAAGAAGCAGGAGTAAACACAAATGAATTACAAAGGCTATTCACAGAAATAATTAAGGAAAATTTCCCAAGCATAGGAAAAGGAAATGATATCCAGATAAATGAGGCATACAGAACTCCAGCCAGCTACAACTAAAATAGATCTACACCCAGACATATAATAATCAAGATCCCAGAAATTCATCACAAGAACAGAATATTAAAAGTAGTCAGAGAGGGGGCTAGGGATTTAGCTCAGCGGCATAAGTGCCTGCCTTGCAAGCAGGCAGTCGTGAGTTCGATCCCCAGTACCGATAAAAAGGAAAAAGACAAAAAAAAAAAAAAAAAAGTCAGAGAAAAGAAACAGAACACCTATAAAGGAAAACCCATCAAAATCATGACAGACTTCTCGACACAAACTAGCAAATCAAGAAGAGCTTGGAGAGAAGTATTCCAAACCCTGAAAGAAAATAACTTCCAACCCACATTGATATACCTTGAAAATTTACTCTCTCAAAATTAATGGAGAAACAAGATGTTTCCATGACAAAGAGGAAATGTGGGAGTTCGTGACCACCAATCCAACCCTACAAAAAATACTAGATAAGAACATTCTAGAGAGAGAGAAAAAAATACAGGATTCCAGCCACAGTGTCAGAGAGGCCTCAATGAATGAGACAGACAGTGGAATGGAGGAGAAAAGTAGACAATCAACAGCAGAAAAATAGCATAACAGAGATGAGGCAGAGAAGATTGGCTATAATCTCTAACATAGATGGCCTTGATACTCTAGCAAGAAGAAACACAGGCAGAGTAGATCAGGAGACAGGGTCCATTGAGATGCTCTGAATAGGAAATATAATCAACCTGAAAGAGGGTTAATAAACCAGAAGTCAAGATAAGAAAATGATGCTCTATGTGACAGGAAACCAGAGAGAGATAGGGACAGCTCATCCAGCAGCTGCAGATAGATTGGAAAGTCATGACACTTTTGTGCAGTGGAAAACTACTCAGCTATAAGGAAGGAAAACCTTGAGGCTTTAGTAGGTAAAAGAATACAGCTCAAGATCAAGCTCAGGGGTAAAAATGTTCAGCACCACTTAGATAGAAAACGGGTTGTCCCCTAATCTAAAAACTAAAGGAGTTAGTGGGACCCAAAATATACAAGCACCCCAAGAAAGGGAAAGGGGAGGAATTGTCTAAAAAAGGAAGGCAGAGGACATTGTTAATAGTGTATCAGGATTTAAAAGCCACATTAGTCTTATTTCTCTGTTTAGTTTGATTTTATTCTGTTCCAGTCTGTCTACTCATACTAGACTTGAGGGCAGACAGTTATCCCCAAAATACCCGGATATACTACCGTGACTATCCTTACTATGACTGATCTTATTTGCATTTGGTTTGTTAGACCGCTGTTTTGTCTTGACTGATTTTATTTGAATTTGGTATGCTTGATAGTATCAAGTCTAAGAGTGGAGGCAACTATTCTGAAGATGACAAGATAAAATAAGATACCCATTCCGGTTTGATTATTACCTACTTTTTGAAGTCCTACAATATCTCCAATGTTGTGTTTTTATTAATATTGTCATGTTCAATTATATTATGCCTGATGATATAGACAATTCTATTGAAAATAACAAGAGATATCATAGTAACTGTAGGTCACCTAGTACTGTGGTTTTATATGTCTTTTTCATTTCATGTTTTCCTAGGAATTTGTTTTGTTGTCTTATTTTGATCTGTTTCCCCCTCTAACACAGAAAGGATAGGTATACAGGTAGAGATTCACGCATGTGTAGAACTTCTGAACAGTTTAGGAAAATATATTATATAATGCACTATGTAATGCACAGATACTCTGAAGAAGAGACATATAAAATCTAGCAATACTATTATTCTCTGTTCAGAGTTATATTAGT